TTTATTTTCATTTCAGCATGAATTTGGGTCACGGCTCTGTTTCAGGGTTTTAAAGAAAAGAAAATGTTGAGGCACAACAAAGGAAACAAAGCAATCAATCAGGGAAAAGCCCTTTTGTACCTAGGGCAAAGTACCAAGTCAAAGTTCCATTATTTTTTTTATTTGGGCAAATTGTTTCTGCAGAACTGGAAGAAAAAAGATGTGTTCAAACAGGATTAACAAGCAAAAATTTGTACTACAGAAAGACACTTACATAATTTCTTAAACATAGAAGAGTAAACAATTGTCTAATCCAGTAATCTGATCATCTGATAAAATTTACAAGTCATTTTTTTAGAAGAAACAAAAGTATTTACTGGAAACAGACTGTCTTGAACAAACTGAGCATTACTTCAAAAGACAATTTTACTGAAATCTTCTTAGAATGAGGCAGAAGCAGAAGCAACATATTTATGGAGAAAGCTGGGGGGGAACAGAATTAAGCCATGAGTTACTTACTGCAACCAACTGCAACCAACTCTGTGATACACCAGGAAACTGTAATGAATGCAAGCTTTTCTTCATAAATAACTTTAATTAAATTTTTATTTTTGCTTGCTGACTTTGTTCTTCAGAGAAGAAAGTCCTAGGACAGGACCTATAAAGAAGCAGCAGAGGCTAAAACGCAGAGCATCACCACTGTTTATCAAGCTGTTATCAAAAATAATCCTCAACAACATTTGGAAAGACTGTTCTCCACCCATTTGCTGTGTTGTTCCCTCAACCCCCACTTATCAATCTACTTTGCCTTTCATGGCTACTTCTAGGTGATGCACATCTTCCAGGAACTTTCAAAAGAATCACGACAGACTGAAAATTTGGCAATATCCCAGTGCAAACCTTTGAGTAACTTCTCCTTGAAATGTTGCTTCTTCTCACAACTAGATTCTTCCTCCCTGAAACAAGCTGATTCTTCTGATGGTCACATCATTCACATGTTTATCAAGTTTTTCTGATGAGTCTCAGAACTTTGGCTGGCAGAAACAAGGATATTCTTACAAAATAACTGTTCTTCCCTCACACTAAAAAAAAAAAAAAAAAAAAAAAGTTGTCAACACATCATGTCATCTCTGAGATTACCAGTTTCTCTTCAAATGCTGTAGTGCAAGAGATGCAGCACAATGCAGCACATGGAGCTTCCTACTTGGATTCCCACCCATTTGGTTGATCTACAGACGCATGTTAAATTGAAGAAAGAAGTGAGACCTCCCGACCACTGAGGGTAAATTAAACAGCCGGATCTGCAAATTGCAACCAAAAATAATACAGCTCACATCCGTTGCAAAAGGGACTGGCTGGAACAAAAGTCAGAGAAAAATTTTCAGGTCCCCCTAAACTACAAGTTTCCTCAAGGAGATTTCTACACAACAGATCCTCTTCTCTCTCTTGTACAAGGGAAATTCATGCCACGACTTGCAATCCACCACAGGAGGTGCTATACTGGGGGTGACCTGCTAGGTTGAAGGATGGTGTCTTTCTGCATTGAATGTTTAGAAACATTTCCTATACTACAGCACAGGAAAAATAGCTATTTTTAACAACAGCTAGTCAATGTGATACCGACAGCTAGAGAGCATCCTGGTGCTGCATGGGATGAGCAAGCTTCTTTCTCATGGCAGAAAGAATATGGGCAAGACAAGGAATAACTCCTTGACCTGTTTTCTTCTGATCCATATGCCTAGTTAAGTCTAAAATACTTTAAATTAGGAAAAACGGTCATCACCATATTTAACATTGAAATTCAAGACAACTCTTCTTCAATCTATAACTAAAGGTCAGTGTCCCGAGTTGGGTTTTGGAGGAGATCTGCAAATTTTGCTTCATGTGAACTCAGGTATAAGAGCTCAACCTATATTTTCCAGGTATGCAGGGAGTCTGGGATGAAGAAATATCTTCTCACATGCTCGCCCGTGCAAAGAGATGCTGCTGTAGTTTAGTTCAGAGAAAATGCTCAGAACCTGGAAGTATTTGACACACTTTGCTCCCAACCTGTAAAGATATGAATATAGAAGTCTTATTTCTTAGAGTAGCCAGACTTCATCTCATTTCTTTGTGAGGTACTGATATTGATAATATTCAGCCAAACGTCGACTGAACTCTCTGTGGTTGGCAGCTCTCTGCACATCTGATCTGCTGCGTGTGGTGCACTACCAGGGATGATTTTTGCAGCTCTTCTTGGTCATGTCTCTACATACAGGATTTGAAGAAAGCACTTCAGTCAGAAAACATGCAACAAAAAATGATGACTCAATCTTATTGCCAAAACATCTCAGATAAACCCTAAGATGTAGGCACTTCCAAGTTCCCTAAGCCTCTTTTTTATTTGGATTTTGCACATTGCGTATCAGAATCACATGCTGGACTGTTTTTCATGTAATTACTTTTCAGGATTTACTTCTTTCTCGATTCTTCCTTTTTGGCATCTCAGCTGTTGAAAGAAAAAAGCCCACCCACATTAAAAATGTGATTAATTGCAATTTATATTGAATTTTAAAAGCACTAGTACTGTGTTGCCTCTAAGTCTGCTGTGGTTTTTCACCACAAACCTGTTAGATCTCTTTCTGATCCACATGGGTAGTTTTTAAAGCTCCAGGGGTAAGAGTGACGGCTCTGAGAGAGCAACAGTGAATTTTGTGTCAGAGTCTGTCTGGGTTGGAAGGGACCTTTAAGATCATCTGGTCCAACCATCAACCTAACTCTGATAAAAACCATCACTAAACCATGTCTCTAAGCACTATGTCAACCCGTCTTTTAAAACCCTCCAGGGATGGGGCCTCAACCCCTTCCCTGGGCAGCCTGAATCAACCCAGTGTGAGAAACACCGACTCACATCTTAGAATTTAAAGAGGACAAAGTCACCGAAGCAAAGGTTAAAAAAATAATAATTTATTAATACGAAACAGCGCTGAATCAGGTGCACCAAAAATAGATGCATGATGATCTTTTATCTTTCAGGTATTTTATACCTTTATCCCGGCCGCTTGAGTTTGTGTCTCCCTTCTCATTGGCTGAGAAGTTGGAGCTCACATTCTTCCCGACCGCTTGACCTATTACAGGTTTATTTTGCACTTTTTCCCATATAAGGCACAAATACACCTATTCTATAAAATCATTATCCTAAACACGCCTTTGATTAGTTGATTATGCTACACGTTATTTCAGAGTCTTTGCTACCATCTACTTGGTGGATTTACCAGACTGGTTTCTTTGGCCTTATTGATACTCCCCTACCCTTTGGGTTTTTGTGTTGAAGGCCATGTTCCAGTCTGTTTCTCTTCACCTAGATAACGCTCTGCGAACAAGGATCCCTTGACAGACCAAGGGCATTTCTGGGGATTAATTGGATACAATTTATTAGACTCTACTATTACTAAGGCTTCTTTGTTAGTACTATCACACTAACAATGATACATCAATTAGCTGAAGCAAAACTTAGCTCATTTCCCACACCAGGTACAGGGGGGTGCAGACCCCCAGCTCCCAGGGGAACTGCAGGCGCTGTAAAGCCAACAACATGGGAAAGGTTACACGGGATCCATCATGGCTCAATAGATCACTGTGGTATCAGTCTTCATGAAAAGTCTGAAAACCCAGTATCCTCATATCTGTTTCCTGGACTTTGTAAATAAACATGGGTACTGAAGGGGAAAAAAAAAAGAAAAAAAAAAAGAAAAAAAAAAAGAAAAAAAAAAAGAAAAAAAAAAAGAAAAAAAAAAAGAAAAAAAAAAAGAAAAAAAAAAAGAAAAAAAAAAAGAAAAAAAAAAAGAAAAAAAAAAAGAAAAAAAAAAAGAAAAAAAAAAAGAAAAAAAAAAAGAAAAAAAAAAAGAAAAAAAAAAAGAAAAAAAAAAAGAAAAAAAAAAGTAAAAATAGGGGGAAAAAGGGAGAGGAAATAAAGTGCTAGTCAGGAGCACAGCTGTGCACGCAGGGTATGTGTATGTGGGAAATAAGCTAAGGGGTGTGTGTGTGAGCGGAGCTGTGCACGCAGAGGGTGTGTGTGAGCGGAGCTGTGCATGCAGAGGGTGTGTGTGAGCGGAGCTGTGCACACGGGGTGTGTGTGTGAGCGGAGCTGTGCACGCAGAGGGTGTGTGTGAGCAGAGCTGTGCACACGGGGGGTGTGTGTGAGCGGAGCTGTGCACGCAGAGGGTGTGTGTGAGCGGAGCTGTGCACACGGGGGGTGTGTGTGAGCGGAGCTGTGCACGCAGAGGGTGTGTGTGAGCAGAGCTGTGCACACGGGGGGTGTGTGTGAGCGGAGCTGTGCACTCAGAGGGTGTGTGTGTGAGCAGAGCTGTGCATGCAGGGGGTGTGTGTGAGCAGAGCTGTGCACACGGGGGGTGTGTGTGAGCGGAGCTGTGCACGCAGAGGGTGTGTGTGAGCAGAGCTGTGCACACGGGGGGTGTGTGTGAGCGGAGCTGTGCACGCAGAGGGTGTGTGTGAGCAGAGCTGTGCACACGGGGGGTGTGTGTGAGCGGAGCTGTGCACTCAGAGGGTGTGTGTGAGCGGAGCTAGGCACACGGAGGGTGTGTGTGAGCGGAGCTGTGCACACGGGGTGTGTGTGTGAGCAGAGCTGTGCACGCAGAGGGTGTGTGTGAGCAGAGCTGTGCACACGGGGGGTGTGTGTGAGCGGAGCTGTGCACGCAGAGGGTGTGTGTGAGCGGAGCTGTGCACACGGGGGGTGTGTGTGAGCGGAGCTGTGCACTCAGAGGGTGTGTGTGTGAGCAGAGCTGTGCATGCAGGGTGTGTGTGTGAGCAGAGCTGTGCACTCAGAGGGTGTGTGTGAGCGGAGCTAGGCACACGGGGGGTGTGTGTGAGCAGAGCTGTGCACACGGGGGGTGTGTGTGAGCGGAGCTGTGCACGCAGAGGGTGTGTGTGAGCAGAGCTGCGGGGGCGGCGGAGGCGGGGGGGGTCGCGTGGCGCGGCCTATGGCGTCGCGGTCTCTGATTGGCCGGCTGGTTGTCGCGCAGGGGGCCGCATGAGCACGAGCCGCGGCGCGCGGGACGCCGCCTGCACCGCCGATCTGGGCGCGCAGTACGTCACGCGCCAGGCCGAGCCCGCGGGGCCGCGCTGCAGGTAAGCCACGCCCCCTCTCGCCTCGCACCGCCCCGCACCGCCCTCCGGGCGCCCCCGCGGGCCCGCCCTGGGTCCGCCTCCCGCTGCCCCTCCCCCGGTGCTTCCCGCCCATCGCTGCCGCCTCAGGTGAGGGCCTGGGCAGGGGGAGAAGCAGGTGGCGGTACGCGAGGCCTGGCGACCGAGCCTTTGGCTCGGCGGTCTCAGGGCTTTATGTTTTTCACCTGTGGTGCAAGTCTGCCCACCGAAGGAAACCTTAGGCGGGTGCTTAAATCCACACAGGTCTTTGCTTTCCAGAGCTGAGTTGCTTCAGAGTTGCCAAAATGCTGGGCAGGTGACAGGGAAGCTAGGTGTGAAAGGGAGAGTGTCTGGTGTGTGTGGAGACACTGTGTCCCTGCACTGAATGGCAGGGTGACTGGCTGTGAGGATGGCCGTGGTGGGCTTGCTTGGTACACAAGGTGCTTCATTGTACGCTGGGGATGGTGAGGTAACAGTGATGCAAAAATGTGAAATTTGTGTGGAAATTGTGTGGAAATTGTGTGGAAATTGGGGAAAATGCAAGTGTTTTGCAGGCCCTCGTGTCTAGCTGTTCCTGTGCTTCATGGTGGTGATGTACTTTGTAGTGATACTCAGAGCTTTTAAGTACCTGTCATATATGCCCCAGCCACAGTTAGTTCTGAAACCTTGAGGTCAAACTGCCAACAGTTTATCTTACAGGGACAGTAGGTAGTTTTAGTCCTGCACAAAAGGCCGGCTGTCAATGAAATAGCAAGGTAATTTGTCATTCTGTAGGTATGGTTCCTATTCATGCATAGCCTGGCCGGAAACATAGGTCGAATCTCATACAGTGGTTAAAAACTGTTCTCTAAATTCTTAAGTTAGGTCGGTCTTAACTTTAACTGTGAAAAATAACAACAGCTGTTGTTGGTTTTCATGCAGTATATTTTCATCTCTGTGTCATTTGCTCCCTTTAAGCTTCTATGAGGAACTTCTATCTCACGGCATCTTGAAACCACTGACGGCACCCATTGAAGGAATGGTAGTGAAAGAAGGCTCATGCAATTACATGGCACCCCAGGGCATCTCCTCGGTTGTCAAGTATTATTTAAACAAGTCAGGTAATTTTTTTAGATGCCTTTGAATGAAATTAATTTTAATGATTGTGGTTTTGATTGTGTTGTTAAACTGCCTTTCAGCTTTAAATCTCCAGTGAGAACGTTCAGGTTCCTTGTTTGTATGTCTTCAAGTTGCTTAGATGGATAAACATGTCTGGGCGCTAATTTCCAAGTCTTGCAAGCACTTCACTGACCTCAGCTGCACTGCTTGGCCTATGAAAATCTCTATACAAATATAATATCATACTATCAGAGGCTAAGCTTATATTTATGTTGTTGACTTTAGCATATGGAAGTCAGACATAGCACAGTTAGGACAGAGATAATTTGGTGGGAGCAAGATCATGGTTGAGAAGAGATTTGAACTGCAGCTTGAATGAAGTGAGTGTTTAGGTGTTTTTTCACACGTGTGTCTTTAAGTTCACTGTGCTGCTTGACTGAGCAAATGGGAGCGCAGTGGGGAGCTATATCCTGTATTTTGTAGAAATGAGTGCTTATGCAGTATGTGAGCCTACTGTGTTGAAAGTCCTTTAGAAAAGGCTGAAAGAGAAGATCATCTGCTAGTTTGAACTGTGTAACTGCTGCATGAGGTGTAATGTGGCAGAACTACTTGTACAGTTTAGTGACTAATTTAACTTTGCTTTGAAAAATATTAGCTTTATAAGCAGTCAAGCTTTGCTCCTTTCATGTAATTGTTGCTATCTTTTTTTTTTTAATTAGCTGGGGTTTTTTAGAGCCTAATCTTGCGAATAATTACTTTCCAGTCTTCTGACATATGAGAGATGCTAACAGGGTCAGTGCTGTCTTTTTCAGCTCTTGGGGCTGTGCTTTGATTGCTTACCCTGTGCCACCTCCAGCTCTTGTCAGATTTCACTCTGAATTGGTTCAGCCCACTAAAGCCACGGTAAACTAACCTGACAAAGAGAGCAGCTGGTGCTTTTACATCTGTTTACTGAGCTGAGTCATGTTCGAGAGGAGTCAGATGTATACTAGCCCTAGCAGAAGGGACTGATGGGATCTTGTCAGTGATGAGGGTTCTCTCTTTTGATATGCTGGCTGTTAACTTAATTTGTGAAACTTGGCCCAAAGACAGTCTGCATGCTTTGCTGTTTGCAAGTCATCTAGTTACTAAGGGAAACTACTCTGTGTTTTCTCTTATGAAATTCACTGTGTATTTAACTTCTTTTTCCAAGCAGGTGCAGATGTCTTCTATGAGCAGCATGTAACTTGCATCTCTCTCCGAGATGGGAAATGGGAAGTCTCCAGGAAAATGGCACCACCAGAACAGTTTGATATAGTTATTCTCACAATGCCTGTTCCACAAATTCTTCAGCTGCAAGGTGACATTGTAAACAGTAAGTTCATGCCTCAAAATCATAGATATCTAGCCTAAAATGGCGATTGAGCATCTCGTATAGCAATGAAACACTCAACAGTCTGAGCTGTCTGTTAATTTCAGCCAGAATAGGGTGAATTTGAAAATGACAGGAGGCGGGTAATTGCGAGGCTGTATGTGTGGCACATGAATGGTAATACCTTGATAGCAAAAATATCTAACTAGATGAGTCATTTTTAAATCTGATCTTTAATTTTTTGCCAACTTCTAAAACAGGCTGTGTCTTTCTGTAACTTGAAAACAGTTACTGAATTGGACAAAAGCCTCATCTAGTCCCCGTATGGTGGTTTCCTTGTTGCTCTCTATTGATATGTCATACTGGTTTTTCAGTGCTGCTCTTTTTAGGTAGCATAGATGCATTGCCTCAGGTATGAGGCTTCCAGGGCCAGCCTTTCTCTGAAGTCAGGCTGGTGAATCCTGCTCACTCATGCTGTCTCAGCACAGTCAGCTTCTGTCTGCAGCAGGCTCCCAGCAGCATAGTTTCTGGGAGGGCTGGTTAGCTAAGGCGCTGCTGAGCCTTTGAGCGAATTTGGTGTATTTGCCATGAGCCTTGATCCTTGTGGAACAGCCACTGTGAGGATTTACAGGGCAGAGATCTTGATGCAGCTCTGCAGGAGATGGCTCTGAGGGATGATGCTGAGCAGAAGCTAGGAAGCCCAGCCAGGCCTGTGCTGACCCTGGCAAAGCCATTTGAAGTGCACTGGGCCATGGATTTATCACTCCAGCTGCAGTGTTGTACCAAAGACATGCCATGTTTGGCAAATAACCTCTCCTTCAACCTGCCATGGTGGACAGCCACGTGGCTGGAGTCAGTTCTGGTCAGACAGGGCTTGTTGCCTCTCTGCTGCTAGCTACTGCAGTAAGTGCTTTAAAACTTGTGGGGTTTCTGCTCACTGGTTTGTAGAAAAAACACCAGTGCTTGAAAGATGAAGAGCTGACTTTAACGCTTGGTTCCTTGTGCTCTGCTGCATCTTGGATTTTAACGTGTTTAAATATATTGAGGGTGATTTGAAAGCTGTTAAAAGATAGCACAACAATAGATGGAGGTCGTTAGAGTGAGCTGCCAGGGTCTAACTGAAGTTGCTTCATGATAACCAGGACCTGTATGAGGGAAAAGAAGAGGACAGGAGGGGAGGAGGGGGAGAAGAGAAGGATAGATGCCAGCAGGATGTTTAAATGCAGCTCAGTGCAAAGGGAAAATCAATATCTGATCACAGTAATGAATAGAAGCATTTTCATCCCAGGGTCTTATTTTAAGCTTTGTGTCTACAGAGATAAATATTCTGTGATAACAGGACTTCTCTGCTATTCCTTGCTTTATAAGCTTTCTTATTTCCCTGTCTCTTTACCATGAAAAGTAATGGTATCCCCACTGAATTTTCTTGTTTAGTGAGTGTGCTCTTCACTTCATACTCTGAATCATGTGAACAGGGTACATATATAGACATTCTTTGGAAAATTATATATTTTCCTTTTAATAGCCACATGTGTCCAGTTCTGGGCGCCACAGTTCAAGAGAGACAGGGAACTACTGGATAGAGTCCAACATAGGGCAACCAAGATGATTAAGGGATTAGAGCACCTCCCTTACAAGAAAAGGCTCAAAGAGCTGGGGCTCTTTAGCCTCGAGAAAAGAAGACAGGGGAGACCTCATCTATGTTTACAACTTCCTAAAAAGTGAGTTGAAGGAGGATCAAGCTGGACTCTTTTCAGTGGTTTCCAGTGATAGGACAAGGGGCAACAGGCACAAGCTGGAACATGGGAAGTTCCACTCAAAAATGAGGAAGAACTTCTTTATGGTGAGGGTGACAGAGCCCTGGGACAGGCTGCCCAGGGAGGGTGTGCAGTCCCCTTCTCTGGAGATTTTCAAGCCCCGCCTGGATGCCGTCCTGTGTAATGTGCTCTAGGCAATCCTGCTTAGCAGGGGAGTTGGACTAGATGATCTCTAGAGGTCCCTTCCAGCTCTGGTGAATCTGTGTACTGTTCTGCTGTATAAAGATACAGTAAACTAATGTTAAAAACATTGACTGGTCACTAATTGAAGCGTGATTTTGCAAGCGTTAGAAAGTTAAGAGGAGAATGATGTAACAACAACAACAACTAATGGGATGGGCCGTTCCCCTGACTGCAAGGAGAGATGACATCTTGATTATTTTTGGTTGTTTCTTTCTTTTTTGTTAGGCTTATTATGACATTGTAACACAGAATATTACTCAGAGATGTTTGTAGTTATGGCTGACTCTCAAGCTACTTCAGTTCGGTTAGCTCAGCTCACAGCAGACGGGAAACCTCAACAGCCCAAACTGTAAAAGCATGTGTGGACAGGTGTAGTGAGGTGGCTTTTTGATTGCTCAGTGGTGTCATTATGGGGGTAAATGACTGTAGAGGTGGGTTTGGCTCATCCTGTCCTTTCTAACAGTCATCGATAGTGAGTGTCCTGGGAACAGAAGAAAAGTAGAGGTAGCGTGTAGTACTATAGCTGAGGTTCCTCTAGTCTGCACCTCAAGGCCTTCCTCAATCCCAGTTGATGCCTTTACAAATGTTTTTTCTTGGGGTAATTAAATTATTTCATGTCCGAAAAGTGGGCAGATTCAGAAGATGTAGTTAATGTGAAGAGATTGCTTCAACCTGCTCTTGGAGTGCTGGAACTGTCAGATGCTTTCCACAACATTCTTTACTTAATCTTCTGTATAACTGTAGGGCTAACTTTTGTCTGAGGGAATCTAGCAAGTTTTGTCGTCTTCTCCCTTTATCCCCATTTCTCTTCCTGTCTCTGCCTGTACCCTGGCTTCTGCGTTTCCAACTGTTGTTAATTCTTTATCTCATGCAGCAGGACTGACTCTCCATACCCTGGAGTTCCATAGCATTGCAGCTATTGGCTGCTTTAATACTATTTCTTTAGGCTAAGAAGGGAAAATCAGTGAGAGGAATGTAAAGACAGTGTTTCAGAGCCCTGAACAGACTATAGATTTCAGATCCTTTCTGAGTTACAGAGAGTCAAGGTACCTCACTGTACCTGTAAATGTCAACCTTATATTGATTACATGTCAAAGAGCTGAGTTTTGCTAACAGGGAACGGGGGGTTTCCTGGATCCACCTCTCTTGGGATTTTAAGATGCAGTTTCGTGTTAAGCTTAAGGTAGTTAACCGTGGACAGCTGCTGATTGGAATAGCCGTCCTCTCCCCTCTGTGCTGATGCTGCCCTGCTTTTGCCTCCTCTGTCAGCACTAGTGAGTGGGCACCATGCTGGGAGACAGATCTGCTCCCTATTTTGACCCAAACCTGACTCTGATGGTGCAAATGAATATGTGAGTTTTCACTTGGCTACGCAAGCTGATTGTACTTTGTTGAGTGGCTGCCCGGTCACTAGTGTTAGCTTGCACATGTGCCGAGGCTGCTTCCTTACCTAAAGCAGTTCAGTCAGCTGTACACTCCGGTCTTCCAAATTCAGAGACAAAATCTGGTTATTCTAGTCGAAAATATATTTGTGTATTCCTGGTGTACAAATGAGCAGTTCCAGCTGCTCCTGGAGGGGGAGGTTCCTGCTCCTTGTTGCAAACTTCCCCCTTGCTGTTGTTTTGCTGCTGTCTCAGGCTGCAGCCAAAATGAGGGACGTGCAGAGTTGGAGGAAGGGGAGGGCTTTCTCCTGCTAGCAACAGCAGCCTGTGTGGCCAGCTCGAAGGTCATGTGTAACTCGTCCCAGACTGCAGGCCTAAAGCAAAGGAAGGCAGAATTTAGGAGTACGGCTACCTTAATTGCTGGTCTTGAAGTCCTTTCTTATATAGAAAATAAACACTGAAGTTAAATGATTAAGACCTGGCTTGAGGTAATATTAATCTCGGTCGCTGTTGTGATTTGTGACAAATAGCGTCAATGGAGCAAGCTTTGCCCATTTCTCCAGGAGCTGTGTTTTTGACTGTAACCAGGCTTTACCGCACACCCTCCTTTGCTGCAGTATCATCTCTACTTTGACAGCTTGTTAATTAGAGGCAGCTAGTTTAATGATCTTCCATATCTGCCATAATTTTTCTCCACTTTTCCTATCCGAGGTTGCTCTCTGACATGCCTTTTCACGTCAGTTTTATTGCGCTGGCTATTGTACTGCTGACTGTGGACCTCTGCCAGGTTCCATTTTAGCCTTTTGGGTATAATTGGGTCTATCAGTTCAAAGCCAAATGAAGTTTTAATTGGTTTTTGATGAGGGATCGTTAGCATGAATGTATAGATAAAGGCTATAAAACAAGTGAAGATGCAAAGGAACAGCTCTGTGGAGTAGGTGATGCTGATCCATGAGTAAGCATTGGAAATAGCCTTTGATATTTGTGTCTAGAAGAACCAGAGTTGGAGAGGTCAAATGACTAGCCAGAACTGATAATTCGCCCCTTCTAGGAGTTCACCATTTCCCTGTTTGAGCCTTGAGACTGACTCTGTCACATTGCTTGAGAATATTTAACTGTCTGAATATTGTATTTTTAAGCAGTGGTCCCATAGATGATTGCTGTAAGCATTCAGTATGCTTCTCTAATAACAAAACAGTTTGGATACCTATGCCCGTGTTTTCAGAGATGTGTCCTGAAATTTAGGCTCCTATATTTGTAGTTAGCATCCTGTGCGCATGTGTTGTGTGTTCCTCTTCATTGCAGAACTCGTGTGTGCCTACACTGGAGTACACGGATGGCCAGCACCTGGCAGTCAAGTTACCTTATTAGGAAATCTTTATTTAGACAACTTTTGCAGAAGGTAAATGAGATGAGGCTTATCAATTTGAAACAGACCAAAATTTTACCTTCAGTGAGATGACTTGCTAGTTCTTGGGTTTATGTATGGCTTGGCTTTAAGTATGAAGACTACTGATGGGAAATCACAGTCTGCTTGACAGAGGTGGTCTTTTGCCTTCCAGATTTTTTGAAAATAATTTTTATTTATTTAGACAGAGAATTAAGATTTTTCAGTTAACAACTCTTTTGAATTTTATGTTCGGTGGCAAAGTTTCTGTTTTAATACTTAAAGCTCTGCAGATTAAAGCTTTTGTTAGTCTCTTTTATTAGTTTGTGTCTTTTTCCTGTTCTTTAACCTCTTAGATGAGCCTGAACATGATGTCATTGTGCAGGTGTATACATTTAGGAGGAGACAAAATTAAGTGGCCTTTGGCAACCTAGAATTACCATTTTAAATGGACTGTGTGAGAAATGACTATTACAGAATTATTTCTGAGTGTAAAAGCAAAACTTTTATTAATGGAGAATTTAGTGTGAATACACACCTTTTTTATTTATATATGTTTAAAAATGTATATACACATATATGTATGTGTATGATGGTATTTATATATATAAAGTATTTTGTTCTGTTTACTTGTATTCTTTTTTTTATTTGTTTGTATTACCAGCATTTATGAATTCTTAACTGAAAGAGGATAGAGAAGGAAGTGACTTGCTTATGGCCAATCTTGTTTAGATTTATTCATCTTTATTTTCAACCTTTATTCATTCCTTCTACAGCTATCATGCTGGAATATATTTATCAGTTGCACATTTAGCAATAGCAGAGACAGAAGAAGTAATAATACTGCTGGAATGCATAAGTTTGAAATCTCTTAAACTAGTAAAGTTGTTGAATTGGTAGTCTGAGCAACAGGCATTCCTCGGGCTCTCTTATACTGGTCTCTGATGAAATTACTCTTCACTGATTTGATTTCCATTCAGAAATTGTGTGTGTCCTCTGTTTACTTGAAGTTACAGTAGAATTGCCAAACAAAATTAATCAAAAGAAAAAAAATCTTTGCAATGTCTTCATTTTCCCCTTGATTTCCTTTTGTTACATAGCATGCGTTATGGGAAGAGTTAGTAATTTTCTAAGCTTTTAAAATAGCTGCGTACTAGTATTGGGTTGAGGCAGTAGGGGAAAAGGGTTTTATAGCTCCTTGCAACATGTTTGGAACAACAATAGGTGGCAGCAATCAAATGATGTTTAGGACATTCAGCTTGATAACTAAATTAAATTTATTTGGGCTTTACATATTGTGGTTATGCACAAGGTAAAAGGAAAATGAATAAATGTTTCTGAGTATTGTACTGTAAACTCAGTATCAGAAAAGGAATAAATTTGCTTAAAAGCAGGATCTTTGCAAGTGACAGGATGAGATTTTGCAAATGTTCATCATCTAATAGTATTTCAGACATGCTGGAGTGTTATATTGGCTGCTGATGTTGGAAATATCCTAGATTTATATAGCAGATTTCATATGATCACCAAGCAATATAGTCCTTTTCTGTGCATTTTCAAATCAGATGAACAAACTTTTTCATTGTTCTGTTTTAATAAGACATTTGGCAACATGGCAGTTAAAGATTGCAACTATTTGCAGTAGTTTTTATCTGTGTGTTCAGAATGTTTTCATTAAGTTGCTTTACTTGGAATTTCAAATTACAGTTCTGCATGTTTAATCTGCTAATAAAATGGAGTGGCTTGGCTTTTGTTTCAAGCCTGACCTATTTTTTTCCCATCTGTGTGAATGTCCCACATGTTTTAAATAATACAAGCTGATGAGAAGACACAAGTAAAATAGGACTGTATTTACATAGGGTGGGTTTATAATGTGAATTAAGAAAGCACAACTGATAATTTTTCATGAGTCTCAAGTTGTTGCTGAGTGAATGTGTTTATTTTTGGATAGCACGACGATAAGTTCCAGTTCCAAGCAATCTTAGCAGGGCTTATCCAGGCTTTGAGCTTGCTCTCATTACCTAACCTATCTAAAATGTCTAGTGTAAACATGTACGCTGTTAGTTGCTTATCAGACCTTAGGAGCTGAGGTCATACCGGGCAAATATTTGTCCTTTCTGGAAATACAAGTAGTTATTAGTTCTGCATGAGAGTAGCTGTTGATATTAATATGGTTCTTTAAAAACCAGTCACCCATTTGAGGTGGAAGCGTCCTAGCGCTGGCTGAGGCTGTGGCAGCGGGAGGGTCTGTGCCGGTAGCACTGGGCAATGTGCTCTCATCCGAGTGCCAGAGGCCGCTGCCTGGGCTGTCGGTGCCGCAGCAGAACCGCGGGGCATCTGGCTCTGCAGTGAAACCCTCTCTCCGTGCCCGCTGTCCGCATGGTGCAGCCGGGCAGAACGCAGCTCTCCGTAGCTGTAACCTAACCCTTAGGATGAGCTGTTCCCCGTTGGGCTCCTGGCTGTGAATCTCACCTGCGATTCAGTGTTCGGCATCCTCCGTATGCCTCCTGCTGCTGGCACCAGCTCCACCTCTCACTTCCACCGCAGCCTTTGGTACTCTCCTGGGAGTTGATCTGACTCCCCAATCCAGCAAGGAGATATATACATATACATAGGTAAGCACGGGGTTGTCTTTGCTCGGTCAGGCAGTTGGATTAGCTCATGGAATGCTGTGACAAGCATGAGAAAGCATGCAGAAGGGAGAGGGAGGGACTAGGCATCTGGGAGCAGAGGAGGGTCTAAGGAGGAGCAGCACGTGCTTGGCTGGGCAGCTGCCACCGAAACAGCCACATCGGTCTTTAAAGCAGGTGAAGCTGTTAGGTGTTCTCTGCCTTCTGCAGCTCAGGTGTAGCCTCTCTTCTTAGGAAGTACTTTTTAAAAAAAGGCTACTGCAGCTGGAGTTGCACATGAGGGGGGAGAGGGTGAAAATCAAAGTAGGCCATGTGTGTTCTTAAGTGTTTGTTTGACTTAACCTATTTTTAGGTGTTTCTTTGTATCTAGAATGCTCACAATGGACTTGTTCTGCAGCTACTAGTTGAACACATTGAAAGCCTGTCAAAAGTCAAATGAGCTCGCACATGGATTCTATGGACCCTCTTTGAGAAGTGTGAGGGTTAAACCTTGTGGTGTATGAGCATGGGAAGTTTGAAAAGGAAATAGAAAGCATACTTTGCATTTTATTGTTGTCAGTCAGCATTGCCTGCCTTTGGTAGAAAGCTGAATCTTTTGATTTGGCTGATTTCAGACTAAAACAGAAGAAAAGAAGCAAGACAGAATGCTGGAAGAGGAAAGTATGCTGCCTGTTGTCTTCAGACTTGGAGGCAGTGGGGCAGCTGCTTCCCGTTCCAGGGGAACCCACGTTAGATCCTTTGGCCAGACCAGGATCACAGCTCTTAAACAGAAAGGCTGCAGAGGGGATTTCACTCTGTTGCAGCATCTCTCTTTAGTGCCTGGTAATGTTCCAGAAACGCTTCTCCCAGCAGTCCCTATTACTTGTTCTGCCCTCCCTCCAGCCAGTGAGCTCTATCTGCGCTTCTGTCCGTGGGACCACAATCACGCTGTCCCTCCCTGCCTCCTTCCTCCCCAAAAAGGCAGGGGAGTTATTTTTAGCAGGATCAGGCTGTGATCTTCTGTTCACCATGTGGCCCACGGACTTACTGGCACATTATGTGCTTTCAGCAGGGATAGGAAAGCAGTACAGGAGCTGTGCAAATGATTGAGGGTTATGAATAAAGAAATGCTTATGAATCTGTGGTTTGAATTCTAGGCTTAGGTTTCCTGTATTGTATGCTCCCAGGAGAGATTCAGAGCACCTGCATGTTAAACTGGCAGGAGATTGTGCTGATTTAGCTCAACTGTTTTTTTAAAAAAAACAAAGTTACTACTGCTATGATTCTTAGATGTGGTACCGAGGGATATGGTGTAGGGAAGGACTCTGTAGAGTAGGGTAGATGGTTGGACTCAATGATCCCAAGGGTCTCTTCCAACCTGAATGATTCTATGATTCTATGCTTACAGAGAAGGCAGTGCTGCTTTTGTATGTTAGCACATTTAATTCAGCCTGATCTGGCTATCTAATTATTGTAATCTGGACATAATTCTCTTCCTGTCCCTACTGCCTGTGCCGGTTGGCAGAGTGCTTCAATACCAGGGCCTTGATCACAGAACTTTTTTTAATGCTTGTTTTGCCTCTTTATGTTATTCTAGTAGTGTATCTCAAAATAGAGAATGGGACCCTAGGAACATTGGATCAGCTGAACGTGAGCCCATGTGCATATGCACACGGTAGGTTTTTTTCTGAATAATAAAGGGGATGGTATTTGAACACAGGACATACTTGGAACAGAGCAAATAAATGCTCTGAAATCTGTTTATCTCAACAATAAACACAGATACCTCTCAGTTTTTCCCAGCAGCAGACAGTCTTTGGGTACTGTCCAGGGGTTATGTTTAGATAGAGAAAGCTTTCCAAAGCTGCTCTTTGCCATGAGTCTAATGGGGGAGGAAGTTCCCTGGTAAAAAATGTGACCAAACTGAGCAATTCTCAATCTTCTTTATTTGTGTCTTGTGGGACATGCGATTAATGAGCTGATGGTTTCTGTGTTGTAAGAAGCTTGAATGTGTTGCTAAGAACTTCAGTAAGTCTAGTTAAGGCGTTTATATCAGACTTTAATTTTTGCATCCTGAATCTAGAATGGTTTGACTTTAGGCAACAGTGATAATGTACATCTTGCCTCTTCTGTAGAGTAAAATCCTTTTTTGTTTGAAGTTTTGCCCTTGTTTTGTTTTGGGGAGGGAGGGGGAAACCCATTTAGAAAAGCTCTACCTCCTTCCCTGTGACTGCAGCTGCTCAGAATAGTTGGGAGAAAACTGTGCAAAGGTGACCATAGGCTGAATTTGACTTTATAGCATTTGTTTTGTTATGACATCTACAAGTCAAACTATTGCTTTTATAGAGTTGAAAACCTTTGAGAAGCCTGGTGCAGGTTTGCAAGCAGTCTTCATATTTAATTGCTTGCTTTGGGATTATGTTTCTTTAATTAGTGCTGCACTCAAATAGGCAGACAGCAGTCTTCCCTGGAACATGTTTTGTTTTTTTTTAATGCTATGTGCATTTAAATATATTCTCATAATTTAGGCCGTGCCTCTAGACTGGATGGGTATTTGTGGATTTCTAGGGTTTTTTTAATAGTTGCTGGCTGCTCACACCACTGTAACTGAGACTGTTCTTTATAAAGATTATCTTTACCTCCCACGGATGTGTCTGCAAATTTTTAAGTTATTTTTGCAGTCCACATCTGGATTACAGCAGGAGAAAAATACTACTAATGTTAAACTTAATGAGAATTTGGCTTCATTAAGTCAAACATAACATTTGCATTGAGTTTGCAGTAAGCTTTTCACGTTTGGCATCATAATGCAAGAGCATACCGTACATTTTTGGAACTTAAAAAACCCTCAGGAATAACCTACCCTCAGATGCTTTTTCTCAAAACTGAGTTCTGTTCCTTTTCCTGTACCATCAGTTGAAAAGATGTAATTGGTGAAGGTTTTTATTTTACAGAAGCATTGCAGTGCACATTCTCAGCCTTAAAGGTGTCAGGTGGGTCAGCTCACTGATGTGGCTGAAAACTAACATGAGGGGAAGAAATCCCACAATTGAAAAGGTTTGTGTTTGTGTCAGCAGGTTGTTCTGGTTTAGTTTGTGGCTGTGTGGGTTCTAGAGCTAAGAAAACCTGAAAGAAATGTGAACCTCCCAGATTAAAACCTGGGTCAGTTCGTAATCCCTCTTCCCTTAATCCCCAGCAAGCAGCCGCGTCAACCCGGTTGAAATGAGGTTGGGGGGGCGCAGCAGGAAGGACCAGACAGCACTGGCAGTGGCTTATCCTCTCAGAGAAGCTGAGAACAGTGGCCTTTTCTTCTATAATTTCCATGCAGAATATTACCACATCCTGTTAATATTTTAGCTGTAATGTGTTTTGGATTTACCTGCATTGCCTTAGAAGCCTACAATAACTGTTGGCTGCCTTGCTTTTCCTTAGGATTTGAATTCCCTGGTAAATACACCTTCCCAGAGATCCTCAGAGCGGTGTTATGGGTCTCCTGTGATGCTCTTCTTTTTTTTTTTTTTTTTTTTTTTAAATTAATTTTTTTAAAAAAGGAAAAAAAAAAAGCCCTGATAAACTTTGTTCAGTGACTATTGTGGTTCTCACCTCATTTTTAGACAGAATGTGGCTTTGTAACCCAGTACTTCAGAAGTTACTGATGATACTGCTTTCTTCAGGTCTATTGTTACTTCCAGTATTTTGTAACATGAGTTGTCTTTAAGAGTTGGTTTGTATTGGTGGTTTGACAGAGGTAACTCCTTTCCTAGACTTGCTCTGTCAAATAGTGTGCCTGGAAGTAAGGTCTTGCATTTGTCATGTACCTTAATTGTTTGAAAACTGTAAATATTGCCTGAGCTTTATAATAAAACTCAGATGTGAGGCTTTCCCAAAGCTCTTTAGGTCTTGAGTTCATTATCTGAGTTTCTGTTTTCTTGGCCATTAGTTCTTCATCTAGTAATGTTTTGAAGGGTTGAGGCTTTTTCACATGTGGCTTGCAGAACAACTTTAAGTACTGCTTCACTATTTTTTCACTTTTTAATTTTATTTCTTTTATAATTAAATTAGTCCAGTCATTACAAACAAGACAATCTAATAACAGTTGAATGTAGTAAACTTCAAACATCTCCTGTTTGTCCCAAAAGTGTTTTGGGCTTTGCTCTTGCACCTTATTTTATTGACTGAGTACTGAAATTTTGATCTTTGAAATAACAAGTTATGTCACTCCAGATGAGAAGCCCTTGCATATGTAAGTAAAACTTAATGGAAAGAAGATTTAAAATTTAGTAGCAGTTGTAGCTTATTAGTGGTTGTCAGGTGGGTGTTTGTCAGTGTTTGGATCTCACAGATCAGGATTTGCTGTTAGGGTGGTCGGGGTGGGCTTGAATGTTGGTTATGTTTCAGGAAGCACCACGTGCGTACTTGTTTTCCCATTCCACTGCTGTCCAACAGGGTAAGCAGGCAGGCTCACATTCCTGAAACTTAATTTAGGAAATGGAATAGGCTAGTGAGAAATGAACTATGTGCAGACAGCAAGTGGTTTAAGTGTCTTGCAGACTGTTAAGTGACTGCAGAACAAGAAAGTGGTATATGACTTTCTAAAGCATGAAAGAAATAGATTTGCTGGGTGTTTGCATATCCTTTTCCTCATTGGCACAGTAGGAAGTGTATTTTGGAACACTGATCAAAACCCCTTTCGTCTATTCTGAATTAAGGAATGTTTGTTGCAAAAGTAAGCTCAAAACCACCATTCTCATTTTATAATGTATATTATGCTCAAAGACAGCTTAGAAGCAGGCAAAAAAATTAACTTTGTAGTGATCCCTTGTTTTCAAAAAACTGAACTGCTTTTAGAATTTATGCCCAACTTGACTGAAAATACTGGTTATTTCCATAAGATAGAATTGTCTAAGCAAGAACTTAATTTTCTACTCTAAAGAAAATGCTGGACAGTTCTTACTGAAACAAGGAAAGTTGCCTCAAATTTGGGATTTGAGTGTTTTTTAAT